CTGCTCGCGCACTGTCTGAGAGGGTGTTGCCACTTCGGCTCGGACGGCGCCTCCCTCCTTCCTCCTCCCTCCTCCCTTCTCCCGCCGTGCCCCCACCGCCTTGACAGTCGGCCGGAGCAGTGCCCTCAGGTAATGTGGTGTTTGCGTTCCCGTCAGCACTGCAGGTTCAAGAGGCACGAGATGCACTCCCCGGGCGACAGGGAGGAGAGCAGCGGAGGAGGACCCCCCTCCCCGCCTCCTGGCTCCCTCCTTGTGTACATTGCGCGACGTTGCTGATGCACAAACCGATATTCAGGTAAAGTATCTCATGAGCCACTGAATGAGACATCATCATGCACCACTCTGACAGACGTCCGGTGACTCCCCCTCCCTCCTCCTCCTCCTCCTCCTCCTCCTCCTCCTTTGTTGCTGTTGGTGTCTTTGTCGCCTCGCCTATCTGCGCGCCCTCTGTGATGCCACGACCGGACGTTATTGAAAAGCGTTTTTTTTTCTTCCTTTTTTTTTGTCGCTGTGTTTTTTTGTTCTCTTCTCTAATAGATTTGTTTGTAGGAGTTGTTTTGAGTTTTTAAAGCTTTTTCGTGGTTTTTTTTTTTTGAGATACTAAGGCGAACTGAATGTCAGCTGAGCAGCATTTGGTCTCTGATTTTACGGAGGGGTCCGGTTCTTGGCCGCCGGCTCCTCAGGGCTTTGACACACTTCTTGTGCATGGTGGTGTGCGGCCAGACCCTGTGACTGGGGCGGTGTTGACGCCAGTGTATCAAAGCACCACGTTTGTGCAGGAGTCTATTGAGCTCTACCAACGGCGAGGCTACAGTTACACTCGCTCTGCTAACCCGACGGTGTCGGCGTTGGAGAAACGACTTTGCGCCATAGAAAACGGCGTTTATGCTACGTTGTACAGCACCGGCATGTCAGCGACAACCACGGCTATTTCTTCTTTCATGAGTGCTGGTGATCATGCGATTGTTACGGATTGCAGTTACGGCGGAACGAACCGTGCCTGCCGTGTGTTTTTTTCGCGGCTTGGCATGGAGTTTACGTTCGTTGATATGCGCGACGTAAGAATGTTGAGGCCGCAATAAAGCCTAACACGAAGCTTGTGTTGTCTGAGACTCCCGCAAATCCCACCTTGACGCTCACGGACCTCCCCGAGCTTTCCAAACTTTGTAAGGCGAAGGGCCTGCTTCACGTTTGTGACAATACATTTGCGACCGCCTTTATTATGCGACCCCTCGATTTGGGCGCCGATGTGACACTTATCAGCACCACGAAGTTCGTGGACGGGCACAACATGACTGTTGGAGGTGCGCTTGTGACGAAGCGGAAGGATCTGGATGAAAAGGTGCGCCTCACACAGAATATTCTTGGCAATCAAATGTCTCCGTTTGTTGCGTACTTGCAGCTGCAGACGGTCAAAACACTCTCGTTGCGTGTGGCGAAGCAGAGCGAGAACGCGCAAAAAGTGGCAGAGTTCCTTGAGACCCATCGTGCTGTCGAGAAGGTGATGTACCCAGGCCTGAAGAGTTTCCCGCAGAAGGCGCTTGCCGACCGCCAACATGCCAATAACTGCCACGGCGGCATGTTGTGGTTTGAGGTGAGGGGTGGCACGGCGGCGGGACGGAAGCTCATGGATACGGTGCCGCGTCCTTGGTCACTCTGCGAAAACCTTGGTGCGACCGAGAGCATCATCACGTGTCCGGCCGTGATGACGCATGCAAACATGACAACGGAAGATCGTTTGAAGGTCGGAATCACCGATGGGTTCATTCGCGTCTCCTGCGGCATCGAAGAAGCAAAGGATCTAATTGATGCGCTCAAGACTGCGTTGGATGCGCTTTAAGAGCACCAAATTACTTCCTCTTTTTTATATACGTCTATTGATTTCGCCGTTCATTATTTTGTTAGTTTAATGTCTCTTTTCTTGGTTCATTCTCGGCGGCGGCGGGCTGACATGGTGCGATGGCGTGCGTCCTACGTTGCAGGGGGCGTGGGGGCGTATGCCTTATGCGCCTCGCTCCACCAGCTCCCTTCTCACTGTGGGCCGAGACATTCTTTTACATCACCTCTGGGTGGAGAAGGACGTGTGCCGCGTCCTCCTCCGAGGCGCGGGCAATCGAATTAATTGGGGAAAAGTGTGAAGGAAAAGCAAAGTGAATCTGTGTTGATTGAGTTGTTGTTGCTGTTTTTTTGTTTTTCTTTGTGTGTAGCTGCCCTCCTCTCTGGGTGATTTGCGGAGGCAAACGGCTCAATATATTTCGGACGCACTCACCCTGAAGGCGTGGCCACTGTAAAGGAAAAGGGAAAAGAGAAAAGCGTGTAGGATGCAGGTGTTAGCATGAAGCTTAGGGGGAAAAGGAAAAAGCATATATGAATATATATATATATATATGTTCTTGTAAAACACGTGCTTGTGTGTCTATGGGAATTTAAAAAAAATGAAATGAAATGAAATAAAATAATGCTAGCGAGGATGAGAAGGAGGGGGGGGGAAAGTGGGAACCGAAGAGTACTCGTTATTACTCTTTTGTTTGTTTTTGCCTGAGCCATTTTTTTTATTCTTATTTTTTCAGCTAACGTTGACCTGAGAGATAGTCATTGCCGAGTGTCTGGCTTCCTCCGTCGTGGTGTTGCCTGTTGTTGGTGGTTTCTCCGCTGCCATCCCATTTGCGATTCGCCTTCTTCCTCTCGTTGTTGTTTCTCCTCTTCCATGTTGTGTGCAGAGTCTAGTTGTCGGGCGAAGGCGTCAGGGCAAACTTCGCATCCCGCGTGTGTGTATCCCCCTTTCGCTCTTAGCGCCCAGCACCGCGAGGCTCTCCATCGCCCAGGCGTTGCGTTTTTTTTTCGTTGTGTGTGGTTTGTTTGCCTCCGCGGGAAGCTTGTGTTTGCTAGTCTCTTCGGCGCGCAGGAAAAGGAAGTGCAGGGCAGTGGAGGGATGGCGCCAAAGTCGCGTCCGCGGTCGAAGTCCAAGTTGAAGAAGGGGCCGCCGCCGCCACCGCCCGTGATTCTCTACGCCACTAACAAGGAGGACTTTGAAGCGGCCGTGCTGCAGTACAAGGGGGCGTGTCTGGTTGCCGTTGTGACGCCTTTCTGCAGTCGTTGCACGCGAACCGTCATGCCATACTTGGAGAAGTTGAATTCGGAGCGGCCGAGCTTGTTGTCGGCTCTGAACATTGTGGTGATTAACGCCAGCGATGAGTCGGTAGAGTTGTGTCGCTCACTGGAGCTTGTGGCCGTCCCCACCTTTTTCGCCTACTCCTACGGAAAGCAACTCACTGGCTTTTTAGGGGATAACGTGGAGAAGGCCCTTCTGCTTGCAAAGCTGGCGGCGCAGCAGGCAGAGGAAGATGCCAAGGAAGCAATGAAGGAGGAAGCAGCAGCAGTGGCGGCGGAAGCCGGAACGGCACCAGTAGCAGCCCCAGGAACAGCTGAAAGGTAGGCGGCTGCATCCTATGAGGGTCAACCACGACAGCCCAAGAGTCTTTAGCGGAAGGCAATAGCGTTTGTGCCGTGGCTGTGCTGCTGTCTGTTTTTGTTGGGGCGTGCGAACACGTTTTGGAGCAAAGACGAAGCAAAACAAAACAAAAAAGAAGCGAACGAAGTTTGTTTGCGTCTGTGCACGTGTAGTCTGCAAGTGGGTAGATGAATTGAATGATGTAACAAAAAGTTACTTGGGAGGCGCACAAGGCAGATATATACAATATTCCTCCGACGATGATAAGTCTGCTCCTCCTTGGGAGTTAAGCTCTCTATGTTGCGGTTTATGTATATTCGAGTATTTTTTTATGATTCCCTTCATTCGACTCTTTTATCTAAACTTCTTTTTTATTTTTCCTCTGCTTTCCCTCCTCTTGCCTGTTTGTGCTAGAGCAAAGCGTAGAATCTCTAGTGGGACTCTTCGCAAAGGAAGCGGGAGGTGGCCTCTTTTTTGGAACACCTCTGACGAGCTTGAATTGCCTGACTGGAGGAGGAAGTGCGCAAAGGAAGGGGGTTGGGCAGGGGCCAGGCCGCGACGGCGATAACAACAACAAGTGACAAGGAAGGTCGACTTTGGGGGAGGGGTGCAGTTGTTTCTCCCACCACCGGCACTTTTTGTTTCTTTGTTTGTTCTGTTGCGTCACGCTTCTGAGGGTGCGCCGTGGTGGGGTGTGTGTTGTGGTCCGCCGCGACAACACACTTGTAGTTGCGCCACAGCTTCACTCCCTACGTCCCAGTAGAATCAGGTAGAGAGCGAACGACGCTAATTTGCAACAAAAGGGGACGACTTTGCGTTGAAGGCCACATACAAGGAAGAAGAAGCAGAAGGCAGCCTTTTTCTGGTGTTTGTTTGTACACATTTTTTTTCTTTGGAGGGGGCTCGCTTGGGCGCCGTGCGTTGGTTTTTCCTCGGACCAACGCTCCCTTCTTCGCACTGCGTGTGTGTGTGCGTGTCGCTCTGCCTGCGTTTGTCGGTGCGCTGCGCGTGCATTCCTTTTAGCTGACGGCTGAAAAAGGCGTCAGGAATAGAGAAAGGAACGGGTTGGATACGGACCGGTACGCGGTAGAGTGAGGGGGATAAGGCTAGAGAGACTAGCTGAGGAAGAGACGGAGTACCGCAGCGAGCGAGGCGAAAGACCCCCCTCCCCCCCAAAGAAGAAGAGGGGTGCATCTCATTGTCCCTTGACGCTGCATTGAGACTATTCCTGCTGTTTTAGCTGCTGCTGCTGCTGCTGGTCGTGGTGGTGGCCTTGGGTGAGGGAGAGCTTCCGTGCGTGAGTGGTCTTTTGACGGAGCCCCGCGGGATTTTGACGCTTTAAATCCCGCATTTATCGTCGTACTCGTATCAGTGCGATTTATGACGATGACGATGAATTATCAGCAACGCAATGCGCAGGCAGTGAAGGTCATCCTCTCCGAGCTGTACGTCACCTGGAGCACTAGCGACGAGGGGGCGTCTGAGATCCAAAAGGCTCTTGAGGAAATACTAGGTGCAGCGCGCACGGCTAATAAAAACACTGGCCACGCGGAGGTCGACAGCGCACCATATCGCTACTCATTGAACCACGATGACGAGGATGACGAACTGCGGCCAGAGGAGCGGGTTGTGGAAGTGTACAGCTCGCACCACGCGGATCCCAACGTGGTGTCACAATCTCTATCGCCTAGACGTTCCGTCTCCCCACCAGCCTCACCGTCTGGGGAGTTACTTCACCGTTTCTCGGACGAGGGCCAAAAATCCCCAAGCCCTGCGCAAACACCACGATTTTTTGGCGTGGATGAGCTGGATTACCCACACCGCGCATACTCCCCTGGTGGCATGGGTTCGCCCTCACATGCCCAGAGCCCCTCTGGGCACGTGAGGCCCGTTGTGGACCCCATGGCACCTGTACCACACTTAAGTGGCAGCAGTAGTGGCACCGTCTCGCCGCCCGCAACGCATTCATTAGGAAGTCCATGTCTAGACACCACTGTCAACGCCGCAATGGTCTCAGGAGAGGTCTTTGCCGCCCTAGAAACGTCGCCAAACGGGAACGTGTCGCAATCGCAGCGCTTTGTACACTCTTCTGGGAACTTTGCCTCAATGCCCCCAGAGAATGTGCTGCGGGCGACGTATGATGACATCCCCACGTTTTATGGAAAGGCGGAAAAGGAAGGTGCACATCACACCATTCCAGAGGCTGAAGAGGAGAGCTTAAAAAGTTTCTTCGCCATGAAGGGGTCCGCACTAAATCGCAAAATACTATCGGGGTCTAGCTTACCCATTGACTCCACAAAAACAGTGCGTAAGGGTCAATTTAGTAAACTTTGTCAGGAGGTTTTTAACATCCCAACATGGATGAAGGATGCACTTTTTAGTCGTATTGCAGCTGCAGCAGGAAACTCTGAATCCGCCGCCCTCACCTACGAGCAGATATCGAGCTATTACTACAACGTACTTGGTCCCCTCACGGTGAATCGACGAATGTTTGAGCTCATCCGGGGTGATTCAAACAGTGCGTATTTAACACTACAAAACTTTAAGGACATGGTGCGGTATTTGGTTGACTCCCACCCTGGGCTTGAGTTTCTCAAACAACCAGAGTTTCAGGAGTACTACTGTCGTACCGTTGCTATACGAATTATGTACTCATTAGAACGGCAACAAAGCGGTAAAATCAGCTGGTTTGTGTTTGATCGTAGTGACCTTCCTGAGGTTATGCAGGAATTGGACGAAAAGGACGTAAATTTGGTGCTACAGTATTTCTCGTATGAGCATTTTTACGTTCTCTACTGCAAGTTCTGGGAGTTGGACACAGACCGGGATCAGCTTCTTGGGTTTGACGACTTGTGTAAGTACGGTCAAAATTCCGTTTGCCCCTCTGTCGTCAAGCGGGTAGTGGAAGGTGCGGGACGGCCTCTCTCATCCGGGAAGCCGGGGCAACTGGACTTTGAAGATTTTGTGTACTTTTGCCTGTCGGAGGAGGATAAAAATAATGGCCCGGCAGTGTATTACTGGTTCAAGGTGCTTGATGTGGATGGCGATGGCATCTTGAGCGGTTACGAGCTGTTTGAGTTTTACAGGGAAAACCATCAGCGTTTCTTGGAGTTTTCGGAGAACCCAGAAGGAGACTTGACGTATGGAGACATGATGTGTCAGATGCTGGACATGATGGGGTTTTTGTGTGCCCAGGACGGCCAGCTTGGCTTGACACTGAGCGACCTGCGCGCGTGTCCGACGCCGTCGAACTTCTTCAACATGGTGTTCAACGCTCAGAAGTTTATGCTCTTTGAGCACCGCGACCCCTTCGCAGAACATCAACAAAAGTTGAGGCCGGAGAAAACGGACTGGGATCGCTTTGCCCGTGCGGAGTATGACCGCATGGCAAGTGAGGCTCAGTGAGAGTAAATAACGCATGAGCCGAAAAAAAAAAGAGGGCGAGAGAGGTGAGTAAGAAGGCGAGCCGGTGGGGCGGGTGGT